TCTCTCTCTCTCTCTCTCTCTCTCTCTCTCTCTCTCTCTCTCTCTCATTCTCTATCTCTTTTGTTTTGTCCCTTGATCTTATGTCCCTATTCAGAGATGCTGCACCCATAAACCTCTTGCATTAGATCTGTTGCATGGTGTGATCTGTTGCAGCATCTTTTGACCCCCAACCCACCAAGGTACCTTTCCCCACTTACCCTAACAAAATCCAGGAAAACACAAACAACTGGAGGCAATGAATAAAATCCCTTAAAGAAATTCAAGAGAACACAAACAGTGGAAGGAAAAGAATAAAATTATTCAAGGCCTGAAAATGGAAGTAGAATCAATAAAAAAAAAATACAAACTGAGGGAATTCTGGAAATGAAAAAGGAATTTGTACAGGAACTACAGAGACAAGCTAAGAGAGAATCCCTGGCTTTGAAGATATGAAATGGATACATTAGTCAGAGAAAATACTAAATTTAAGAAACTCCAAACACAACACAATCAGGAAATCTGGGATACCATGAAAAGACCAAACGTAAGAATAATAGTAGAAGAAGCAGAAGAATCCCAGCTCCAAGGCCCAGAAAATAATCTCAACAAAATCATAGAAGAAAAATTTCCTAACCTAAAGAAGGAGATGTCTAGCAAGATACATGAAGCATACAGAACATGAAATAATAATCCCTCACCACATAATAATCAAAACACTAAACATACAGAACAACAACAAAAGAATATTAAAATCTGCAAGGAAAAAAGACCAAGTAACATAAACCTGTTAGAATTACACCTGACTTCTTAATGGAGACTCTAAAGTCAGAATGGCCTGGACAGATGTCCTGCAGACTCTACGAGATCATGAATGCCAGCCAAGACTACTATACCCTTCAAGACTTTCAATCACCATAAATGGAGAACATAAGATATCCCATGATAAAGTCAAATTTATACAACATCTATCTACAAATGTCCTACAGAAGGTGCTAGAAGGAAAGCTCCAATGAAAGGAGGTTAACTACAGTCGTGCAAACACAGGGAATAGATAATCTCAGACCAGCAAAATCAAAAGAAGACACACACACACACACACACACACCACCACCACCAACAACAACAACAACACTACCACCAAGAACAAAATAACATGAATCAACAACCACTGGTCATGGATATCTCTCAATATCAATTGGTCTCAATTCCCCAATAGAAAGACACACACTAACAGAATGGATATGAAAACAGGATCCATCCTTCTGATGCATTCAAGAAACACACCTCAGCATCAAGGACAGACATTATCTCAGGGTAAAAGGTTGGAAAAAGATACTCCAAGCAAATGGACCTAAGAAGCATACTGTATGAGAAAAGAACCTATTTTCAATAAAAGGGGAAAATTAAAAAGAAATTCCTGAGAAGGGAAGCCTTTGGATCTATTGGGATGATATAAGATAAATTATTCATTTTAATAACTTCATGGATTTCCTTGCACATTTATTTCTACAAAGACAGGCAGTTTTATGGTTCAGTCATAATATGGCATCTCATTAAAAGAAACATAGCTCGGGAGCCAAAGAGTGATTACTAGCAATTAGCATATCTTATTACAACCTTTCACATAAAAGGCCCAAGAGAACAATTCTTTCTTTCTTTCTCTCTCTCTCTCTCTCTCTCTCTCTCTCTCTCTCTCTCTCTCTCTCTCTCTCTCTCTTTTTGGTTTTTCGAGACAGAGTTTCTCTGCGTAGCTTTGCGCCTTTCCTGGAGCTCACTTGGTAGCCCAGGCTGGCCTCGAACTCACAGAGATCCGCCTGGCTCTGCCTCCCGAGTGCTGGGATTAAAGGCGTGCACCACCACCGCCCGGCGAGAACAATTCTCTTAAAATATAGCAAAAAGGAGTTTGTTCTTTCTCTCTTTGCTGTTATTGCATCCATACCTGGTAGCTGTCCCAGGATCTCTCTACATCTCCCTGCTTGGAAATCTCAGTCCTGACCTCTGCCCCACATTTGACTACCTGGTAAGAATCTTACGCACTTATTTTTTCTGACGGTAGTCAGCAATATTCTCAAACTACTCACATAAAGTCTTAGTTACTGTTTTACTGCTGTGAAGAGTCACCATGACCAAGGCAATTTACAAAAGGTAACATTTAATTTGGGGCCTGTTTAGAGTTCCAGAGGGTGAGTTCATGGTCATCCTGGTGGGGAGCATGGTAGAAGCAGGCAGGCTTGGTTCTGGCGAAGTAGCTGAGAGCTTACATCTGAAAGATGGAGGCAGAGTCAGAGCCTGGGTTTGGCATGGACTTTTGAAACCTCAAAGCCTGCCCCCCGAGTGACACACCTCCTCCATCAAGGCCACATTCTAATCTTTCCCAAATAGTTCACCAACTTCGAACCAAACATTCAAATATATGAATGGCCGGTGGGTGCCATTCTCAATCAAATCATCACACATGATTAATCACTAAAGAAAATAGCTCAGTATTTAATATTTTTGTCTCAGATCACTATTTCTGAATGCCCCACTGCATTCACAAATGTATTGTTGTATTATGAAAGTTTAATGTGTTAAAAGAAATTATAAATGGCCTGGAGATGTAGTTCAGCTGGCAGACTGCTTCGCTAACATTCAGGAAGCTCATGGGTAGGTCGCCAACACTTGATATAACTGGGTGTAGTAGCGTGTACCTATAATCCCAGCACTTTATAGGTGAATGCAGGGGGATCAAGTGTCCAAAGTCATCTTCAGCTACATAGATAGTTTAAAGCCAGCCTGGCTCAAAAACCAAACTCCCTTGCTGGGTGGTGGTGGCACACACCTTTAATCTGAGCACTGAATAAGCAGAGGCAGGTGGATCCCTGAGTTTGAGGCTAGCCTGAACTACACAGAGAAACCTTGACTCAAAAAACCCAAACCCCAAATACCCAACAAAACAAAACACACCTCTCAAATTTACACCCATCACTACTGCACAATTCCAAACAAAAAAGGCATACTACTTAGAATATTATAACTATAAAAGTAGTACATTTTCACCAATCAGGTAACATGGTTACCAATATTATGAAAACATAGCTTTCCCACAAGGGATATGTACATATTTACCTTTTGGTCCCCTTCTCCCATGTCACATGTATATGATGTCAGCAATTATTTATTCAGTTGAATTTTTTATATAGAAATTTAGCTCAATGCTGGTGTCATCTTTCCCATGTTTAGTACAAACAATCAGGAAACAGTATTAAAGGCTCCTTGGATTCCCAATGATCCCCACTCAACTGCTCTGCAAGTCAGAGGGAACCCTCCTTCCCTTCCAGTCTAATGGGGGCACAGGCCATGCTCAGGCTTGCTAGAGACCCAGTGGTGCTGTAAGAAACAGGACACAGAAGGTCCTCACTGGAGTGTGGATTAGTTTTCTTGGATTGGCACACACATACCACCACCTCCACCATCACCACCACCATCACCAGTACCACCACCACCACCAGGACCAGCACCACCATCACCACCACCATCACCACCACCATCACCACCATCACTACCACCAGGACCAGCACCACCAGCAGCACCAACCACCAGCACCACCAGCACCACCAGCACCAGTACCACCACCACCGACTGCAGTTTTAACAATAGATGCTTATTATAATTTTGATGACTAGAACTCCCAGATCGAAGCACTGTCAGGGGTAATTCTGGAGAGGCCTCAGCCAGGCATGTGGTTGGCTGCCCTCTCACTGTGTTCTTAGCTTTTTGCAGACAATGGGGGACAGGATGGCCGTGGGTGAGATGCCAGAAAGGCAGCCTCTTCCACACTGCATGGCTTTCTCCGGTGGTGACAAGGACGGAAGAACTGAGTGGCTCATGGCCCACTCACGCTTTAATGGCTCGGGACATAATGAAGAATGGCAGAGAGGTGACCTTCAGGAGGAGAGGTTGGGAGGGGGGGCATAAGGCACCACACAAAGGAAACTTTGTCTAGCCCGTATCTGCTCAAGATAAAAGTGTTTCTGGGATACAGAGAAGACAGCAGATGGAGCAAAGGAGCCTGAACAAGGCCATTGTCAGTGCGGACAGGAAGGGACTGAGAGCTGCGTGAGGTAAGGCTGGGTCACCATCTCTTCCTAGTGCCGTGGTAGTGTAGCCCCTGGCGTATTACAGTTTCGCAGGCAGCCAGAAGGCACATTTCAGACACAGCGGGGTCAGGGGGTGAGGTGAGACCAACCAAAGAGAAGCCCACGGAGAGCACAGTGTCAAGTGTAGAAGCTATGTCAAAAAGAGATTGTCAACGGGGTGGGCAGTCAGACAGCTGTGGATTCCAAGGGACCGGCTCGGGGATCCCAGGGCAAGTGTGCATTCCTCTGTGTCTTACTTTCTCATCTGAGAAAAGTGCATGGAACGCTAATGACTTTCAGATTACATTTCAGTCGTATGTAAGCTAGCTCAGCATGGCCCCGGGCTATGACATATATATTGCGCAGAGGAGAGAGGAGGGATGGGGGAGAGGGCTTAAATGGAGAGGCGCAAAGGATAATCTTCATGGTCTACTTGATGAGACCTACCCTGGGCCTTGAGAAAGGCGCAGGCGCTGGGGCTGAAGGGCTGGCTCTGTGGGCTGGCTCTTATCTCTCTGCAGAAGGGGGCCCGGGAATGCTTCTATACTTCCTGCTACCCACAGCTGTGCTGGGCAGGCTCAGAATAGCTCAGCTCCATGGAAGATGCTCAGGTCCCAGCAAGACGCAACTGTTTTTCCACATAGGATTCACCAGGCTTGGGTACGGATACCTGCTGGGTAGGAGACAGAAACAGAGGCAAAGACTTCCCACCATCCGAGGCAGGAAAGAAATGAAAAGAGCTGGGGAGTCACCGAAAGGCAGATTTTTACGTTAATTCAAAGTAAAGTGTTTGATTAAACAGCTGTTCTCCGAGCTGATTTCGGATGTCGTGGGGATGGATAGGCCTTGGCGTCGCGCATTGTATCCGCGCCTCACTCCAACTGTGCCGTGTCTGAGTCACCCTGTTGATGACTTGAATGCCAAGTGGAGTCGTCCGTACTCTCACGGTAGATGCTTTCTCTGAGCATGAAGCTGCCTCCTCAGTAGGTCATTGTGTTACAGGATGGAATTGCTGCCTAGAAAATCAAGATGAGACGCGCCTGCCGCCTGCCCCCAACTTCTCTCACAAACCCGCAGGAGGCTCTGTGTAATCGCTGCTGCTCACTGAATATCTGGGTCAGAGCTATTTTCATAATGTAGCAAAATTCTACTTACGTCTTTTACTCCAATTCCTTCTTGAGTGTATGCTAGTTTTCGGGGGTTACGTGATACGGAGTGTGATCACAGGCCCAGAGCCAAAGCAGATGCACAGATCCGGCTGTTCTCTGTGCAGCCAAACACTAATTACATTTGTGTTTACGTGTTGATTCGCACGTGTGTGAGCAAGTGCCATGGTGTGAATGTGTGTGTGTGTGTGTGTGTGTGTGTGTGTGTGTCAAACGACAACTTAGAGGCCTCAGTTCTCTCCTGCCACCAGGTGGGTACTGGGAATCAAACTTGGAGGCAGGTGCCTTTACCTGCCGAGACCTCTCACTAACCCAAACAGGCAAACATTAATGTGCAAAGATGAAACATGCTGCCACTCTTGTGTGTTTTTGTTTTGGCAACAATTATTTTTTCTTTAAAATGTGTTTTTCAGATATCCTTTCTATACATACACAGTTTAAGTGAAATTTTCCCACCAGGGATGGCAATGCTCTCCCTAAGACTATCTAACAACCCCCCACCCCAATACCAGGTATTAGAAGCCCCTTATGAGTTGTTGGCTGGGGGTTGAAGAGACTCCTCAAATGTTGTAGGCTATGGCTGTTGCCCTTAGCTGTCTTCCAGAGGCTGAAGATGAATTCCTATTGGTAAAGATACCATGTACTTAAGACACAGGCCCCAGAGGATTCCAGCGGGATCTGACCTGAAATTTTCCTCCCTGAGGACTAGCTTTCATAGTTCCTGAAGGCTGTGCATACTTCCAAGGGGTGGGAGATGCAGGCCATAGTCCTACTTAGCTATGATGCCTTATGAACTACAATGGTTACCGTGGCACGGTCATCCCACGGGTGCAGTAGTGGCACACGTACCTTGGTGGTAACCAACGGCTCTCTATTGGCGTGAAGGCTTTCTCACAAGAAGGAAATCATGCCCGGCACTGGAAACGTAGCTAATTACCTGGGGCTAGTGAGGTCAGGGATCTTGGAGGAGAACCTATCACATCCACTTTACTAAACCAGGGTAGTTCCTCACTGCACTCTAAGCATTTATCCTTATGCCCACAGATAAGTGTAGCTCTCATCCCTCACCAAAGAAGTCTCTCTTTACAACAGAGACTAAAACAAACAAATGAACAAACAAACAAACAAACCCCAGAAACCTCACAGCTGATCAAAATGCCGAGATCAAGTGATCATGTGAATCCTAGCCCCAATAGAGCAATCTACAACACAACTCTTGCACCCAAGGCTCAGAGAGCATTCCAGAAGAGGGCGTGCAAAGACTGGAAGAGCCAGAGGCCCATGAAGTCAACAGAGATTATGTCTCCTAGAAATGACAGAGACGATAGACCCATGAATTCTCAACAGCATGGCTGCCTACATAAAACCTGAACAACAGACATGCTAATACTGAAGGAGGAAATCTCCTGGAGCTTCCATCCTAACAAATAACTAACTACAGGCAGTAAAGGAATGCTGAAAACAGGAGACAATTGGTTATCCAATACCAAGTACTCAGCCCTAAAATCACGTGCTTCAAGTAATATTATATGGACTAAGCAGATTGTATTTACAAATTTAGGAATATATATTTAACTGTATATATGTGTTGTTCGAATCTTAGATGACCTTTTAATAAAAAAACCCAGAGCCAGATATCAGGGTGAAAGGTGAAAGATCAGAGAAGCAGAGCAGCAGCCACTAGTTCTTACCTCTACGAAATCCTCAGCCTAAAGAGTGAGTTCCTGTTTCCTCACACCTTACATACCTTTCTCTGCCCTGCCATATTACTTCCTGGGATTAAAGGTGTGTGTGCTTCCCAAGCAAAGGCATGAGATCTCAAGTGCTGGGGTTAAAGGTGTGTGCCACCACTGCCTGGTTCTGTGTCTAATCTAGTGGCTGGCTCTGTCATCGGATCCTGAGGCAAGTTTATTAGGGTACACAATTTATCACCACATATATATTTATAGATACAATATATATACAATTACATATATATACAGTTAGAGAGAGAGAGAGGGAACAGGGTAGTGTGTGTTCATGGGACAGATCAGATTGGGGAGAAAGGAAAGAGGAAAATGATGTAATTATATTTTAATTTCAAAAAGTAAAAAAAAGTTTTTTTTTTAATGAAATAGCTATTTTAATTGGAAATCTGATGAAATAAAATTTAGTTTGTCACTCAAATAACTCCTTAGCTATTTAAAAAAGTGTGATGAGGTCTATTTTGTGTTTTGAGACAGAGTGTCTTGTGAAGCTGAGGATGGATGGCCTTAAACTTACGATGCTCCAGCCCCAGGGCCAAGGGTGTTGGAGTTACAGATGTTAAGACTGCAGGATTGCAAAGACAGAGACATTTCTTCACACTCTCTTTGTTCTTCAGAACAGATCCGTGACACAGAGCCTGTGATAGAAAAACTCACGCCTCTGTTGATCGATCGTTGGCTCTGATTCGCCCACTTTCCGTGCTGAACCCACTGGTCTGCACACCCCGTTGCGGCAAAGGGAAGCCTTGAGAGAAAGCAAAGGGCGTTGAGATTTTGCAAGAGGCAAATTTCATTCTCCTCTGCTCAGTCATATTCTCCAGGTGACGTGGTCTCTTGGGAAGGAAAGTGACTCAGTTCCAAGAGTCTTCTGGGTCTCTCTAGTTACGTGAGCATCCGCAAGTGGGTGGGGATGGGGAAGACCCGGACAGCTACATCTGCACAGCGCCCTCTGCTGCTCGTTTCTGCCCTGCCTGGCCGCTGCTTGGTCTAGCCTGACTGTCTCGGATAGGATAGGCTCCCCTTTGGACACTCCACCTTACCTTACTTTAGGTTTTGGGATTCTTCTGACAGCAAACAGGCTTTTTTTTTTTTTTTTTTTTGGCTGGGGCGGGTTGGGGGAAGCGGGGTCCAGACAAGGGTTCTCTGTGTAATCCTTGGTGTCCTGGAACTCGCTCTGTAGCCCAGGTTGGCCTCCAACTCAGAAATCCGCCTGCACCCACCTCCCACCTCCTGCTGGGATTGGAAAATAGGCTTTTAAATGACTATGTGAGGTTGCCTCCAGCAGCTAGCCCTCCCCCGGGGGCTTCACCTGGTCTGCAGCGTCATTCCGACCCCCGGCCCAACCCCACCCCTGAGTCATTTTCCACTTCCAGAGCTTGGGACTCACATTAAGACCCACCCTTCCTTGCTCCTGTTGTTAGGGGAGGAAAAACCCAGATACAAACCCAGGCCCTTTGACAGTTTGCTTAACCTCCAGGGTTGCATTCTTCTGCGTTTTAAACGGAAATATTAAAATTTTAAATGGAAATACTAATATTTGCCTCCAGCGTTATCAGGAGTAAAATGAGATGTTACAGAAGCTCTTGGAACAGGGCTGAAGGGTGGTGCTGCTGGGTTCTGGTTTTCTGCTCTGTTCTGTGGAGCAGCCTCTGCCCGTGGGCCTCACAGGCTTCAAGAAGCCATTGCTACTGCCTGCGATCTGGGGGCTGCAAGGGTCCTTACCACAGCCCTGGTTTTTCCCTCAGCTCCCTCAGTGGAGGCGCGCTTCCCCACACTCCCAACACTTTTAAGAGAATTGCCCGCATCATTGTTTGGTTCAAGACCATTTCCACGGGGAGATGGCGGATAAAGGGGCTTGCTGCTAAATCTGGAAACCTGAGTTCAATTCCTGGAAGAGAACAGACCACAGGAAGGCAGGGTAGGTGTGCCCCCCCCTGCCAGTAAATAAATGGAAAAATAATAAAGACCTTTAAAAATATTACTCCTTAGAGCACTTTCAGGTTCCCAGTAAACTAAGTTCAGAGAGTTTCATCTAACTCCTGTCCCTGGTCCTGGCTTTCTCCATGATCAAGCTCCTGTACCACAGCGCACCGCTGTTATGGATGAATGTGCCCTGTTAGATCATGCCCCATTTTCCAGAGTTCACACTGGTTAGGGCTTTTCAACGTATTCACTTGTTTATTCCGTGTGTGTGCTCGTTCCTGTCAAGACCAGAGGACGTCACGTGTCATTCTCAGGAGCTCCATCCACCTCCTCGGAGACAGGGTCTCTGGTTGACCAGTAGCTCACCAGTTAGGCTGGACTAGCTGGCCAGTGAGCCACGGAGATCCTTCTGTCTCCACCTCTCCAGCACTACAACTCGAAGTGGGAACAACCACGCCTGACTTTTTACGTCAGACTCAGGTTGTCAAATGAAGCAAGTTCTGTACCAATGGAATTGTCTTCCCTGACCCTGGAGATAGGCTCTCATGCCGCAGCCCAGGCTGGACTTGAACCTCTGACTCCCCTGCCTGTCACCCAAGTGTTGAGATTAAAGGCCTGTGCCACCATATCTGGCTCATAAAAGACTTCGGAAGTGCTTAACTGGATTTGTGTCCTTGGAGTTGGCATAGAGTTGGCATAGATAAATGCCCAGGGTGGGGGGAGAGGAGCGTGGTTTGCGTACTCTCTTCAGCTTGATGGGATCATCCAGCCTCACCCCAGGGGCCCCATGGCAGAAGCTCTGAGAAAGCAGACCTGGAATAGGAGTTGAGAAGCAGGAACCCTGCGGGGCACCTTCTGGGCAGCAGAAAATATGTCAGCTGAGGTGTGTCAAGGTTATTGAAGGCCTAATCACCATTACTTAGGCTGTGGGATGATGCATGACACATTTGGCCACGTTAATGAGCTTGATGGCCGCACTGGAGGAAACATAGTGCAAATTTTAACTGAGCAATGGTAGGATGGAGTACAGGAGCAAGAAAACCAAAGGAGTAGAGGGACTTTGGAGTCCTCAGGAAGGGACAGAGAGCGTCAGGGACGGTCTCAGGAGGAGATAGAGTTCCACTGGCTGCTATCACAGGCGCGAAGGAGGCAGAAACAGTGGTCAAGGTTACCCAGCCTGTGCTGCATGCTGGGAGGTGTGCTGGCCAGGACCTGGCTGTGCCTATTGAATCTTCACAGCTCCGAGAGGCAGACTCATGTCTGACTCCAGCTTCCCTGGAGAAGAAACAGATATTGAAGCTTCCCAAGGTTAATTCTGTCCCCAGCCACAACAAACTAGCAAATAAGATATCACATTCATTCGTTTGGATCAGAGTCGTGTATCTTAAGCTGGCCTCAAATCCAGAGTGTGGCTGGGGATGGCTTTCAACTCCTGATCTTCCTGCTTCCACCACCCAAGGTAGTGAGTGGGGTTTCCGGTATGTGCCACCATGCCTGGTTTATGCCATGCCATGGTAGACAAGTACTCTAAGGAGAGACATTCCCAGCTCCAGATGAACAGGCCTGTCTGTTCATCATCATCTTTTGTTTTAAGACAACTGTCATGGAATAAAGACTCTCAGCGGTGAGAGGTGGCGGCGTGTAGTTTTTGTTGGTGCTGAAAGAGAAACCATCAGAAGCTCGCCCTGTTTACAGGCTAAGGCTGGGCTCAGGTGATTTACCAGTATCCACCACCAGAGGGAGCTGTGCTACATTCAGGCTCCTCGCCTCTGTTTTCCCACCCTGCAGCTTCTGGCAGAGGCTCCTGAGACAAAACTCCACAGATCTTGGCTTCCATCCCTTGCGGGATTGTGTTGGAGCCAGAGATTGGGTTGTTGCTGTCATTAATGCTGTTTGCGCCGTAAACTTGTTTTTGTTGTTGTTTGTACTCCAGCAGTCCTCCAAATGAGGCACCCGAGGCATAGGGAGGGTTGTTTTCCTTACACAGGATCATTTATCACATTTTTCTTATTTGAAGTGATGAATCTCATCACCAAATTGCATTTAATTGATTTTCATATTTCATGAGCTCAATAGCTACTAACCATATCCACTTTGCTGGCAGCTTCTGAAAAATATCGGTGTCTTTCCTCGGACATCGGAAAAGGCTGTACATACCTCTCTGGAGTAAACTGATCTGTATTCCAGGCCACACAGAAGAATCCCTGGTCGAAGAGGGATCTCAGTAAAAACACAGCCCGAGGATTTCAGGACAACAGGTGAGTGCTGAGAACTGATTGAGGAAGACGGAAGGTGTTCCAGTCAGGAGATGCCTTTCCCCTTCCTGTATGTTCTGGAACGTGGTCTGGGCTAGACCCCAGGGCAGAAGTAGATACCACTCAAATAGTTCCATCAAGCGAGAAGGCCCTTTGCATAGAGCTTAGCCAGCGTCTTGCCTATGAATCTGCGGAACCTTGCAAATAGATTTTCCACGTTCGTTTTCCAGTGTGTTAGAGATAACGTGTGTCGGAGGGTGTTTTTAATGCCAGTTCTGGCCACTTCAGATCTCCTGTCCAGCTCACACTGTCTTCTGGGCTGGCTGGAACCTCAGGCTGTGCCTGGACTTTGGGCCCTGGCCTAAGGATTTCTAGTTTATTGTTCATACATCAGTATGTCAACAAGTAGCGTTTCTTCCTGCATTGGCACAAGAGTGGTGCTATAAAGTGTTCAAGACCGAAAGACAAAGGTAACTCACTGTAGAGAGCTTGCACATGCCTCGTGTGTGCCAGATCTGGCTTCAGCTCTCAGCAACACAAACACACACACACACACACACACACACACACACACACACACACACACTCACACGCACGCAGAAACATGATATACACATACACAACCATATATATACATAGACACACACTTCAGAATTTACACACGCACACACTAACCCAGGCAGGGCATCAAGTTGCAATATCTTTGTATTTTCAGGGAGATTGTACAATTAACACCCCACAACCTATAATTAGTACTGTGATCAATGATATTATTATTCTAAATATATAGTGCTATTTTGCTCCCCGATAGCTACCACACTGAGTGTTGATATAAAGTCCCCAGTTCACAATGCATTCTCGCATATTAACCCTTGTCTTACTCCTTACAGTGGCCTGGTTTCAGACAGAGGAGTCTCAGGCTCAGACCATCTGTAAAGGTTAATCATCATTGTCAAGTGTACTGGATTTAGAGTCACCATGGAAACACCTCTGAGGGGGTTTCCAGAAAGGTTTTACTGAGGAAGAAAGAGCCCCTTTGAATGTGGGTGGTGCCATCTCCACTGGCTGGGATCTTGGACTGCCAAAAAAAAAAAAAAAAA